GTGTTTTGCCCTGTGTCATTTTCTTCATGGTTACTGTGGATAGCACTTTATACATATGTGACTTACTGTTGTTCACTGATATCAACGTTACTTTGGATAAAATGCAAAACCTTGCTTTCATTTTTGGTCTTTTTCTTCACTAATATTTTTGTGTTGAGTGTTAATACCATCATAATTTTTATATCAGTTGTCAAAAATCCTTTATAGAACTTGTAAGAGTGGTAATCTGTTTCGTTATTTTTTCCAAGATTCTACCTTTTAACAGTTCCCCTAGCTGATCTTAAAAGTCAGTTTGTTAATGACAAAGTCTTTTAATTTCATGTATCTGAATGTGACTTTGTTTTCCCCTGTATTCCTGAGAAATAGTTTCATTGATGGTCCTGTGTCTTTGCCAAACATGGAAGGTTTTCAGCCATTATTTCTTCAAATACTCTTTCAGCCTCACTCTCTTTTCTCTTTCGGGGCTTCTAATGATACAAATGTTGAATCATTTGTTATTGCTCTACATGTACCTAAAGCTTGGTTCATTTTTCATTCTATTTTTTCTTTATTGTTCTGTTCTTCTGTCATCTTCATTTACTGTTGAGTCCATCCAGTGATTATTTTTCTCCTAGTGTATTTTTTAGGCTTGTAATTTCCATTTAGCTCTTTTTATTGTAATTTGTATTTCTTTCCTGACATTGTCTATTGTTTCATTTTTGAAACAGAACTTGTAATTGCTTGTCAAATCATTTTTATCATGATGGTATTAAAAGTCTTGTCAGATAATTTCAACATCTTATTCATCTCTGTGTTGGCGTTGGTTGATTTTCTTTCTTTGTGATTATTCTGGTTTCTTATGAAAGATTTTTTCTTTGTGAAGGTATGACAGGTGAATTTTTATTGCATTGTGATAATTTTGGCTCTATATTAAGAGACTTGGGATTTTTTACTTTAACAGGCAGTCGTCCTGTTTAGGTTTAACACATGTAGATCCTGGTGTGCTTTTTGGGTTGTGGTTCCAATGACAATTTTAGTGTTCAGAGGTTTTGTGGTGCTCTTATGGTTTAATTCATTTATTTCATTCCACTGGGGGCTTCCACACACTGGTCCTTGATGGTGCTACTTGAGGGGCTTCTTTGGGCTAAGCTTCCACAAAGCATTCCATAATGTTTTTTGAGTGAGGGAGGAGCACCCCACTAGCTCTCTCTGGGCTAGAGAATGCTTCATAAACTGTGGTCCGGCAGTGCTCCTGACCATGTGGTACTTTGGGACTGCAAGGAACTCTTGAAGCTCACAGCATAAAGTAGCACTTCCAGGGCCAGAACCCATCATAGAGTAAAATTCCACCTGTTAGTGCCAGCAAACTGTCTCTAAATAAAGAAGGAATGCAAGGCATTGTTTCATTGCTTCCCCCGTCCCTAATTCTTAAGATTTTCTTATTTCTATTTTGTTTGAGGGGTATTGCTTTTATCTTTATTTCTTCCTTTTTTAGTTTAATTTTAGTTTCTTTGTATTTGGCATGATTTTTTTCCCCATTTTTTCCTAATTCCTCCTTTAATCATATCTTTTGAGACTTTGTCTTCCGTCTGCTTTTCTAAAGTTTTTAAGTTTTGATATGGTTCTTCAATAACTTCCATTATTTTAAAATTTGTTTTAGCTCCGTTTGAAATTTGTTTTCGTTTTTCATCTGTTTTATTGAGATCTTTTGTTGTACTTTCATTCCCTAAGGACATTGTTTCATGAACATACTCTAATAACAACTTGGGGCAATTTTCACTGTGATCCTTTTGTTTTCTGTTCATTTTCATTTTAAGTGAAATGACTTTCCCATACTTTCAAGAGAGACGGGCCAATATAGCTTCCCCCACCCCACCACTTCAGAAGGGCTCTAAGTTTGTGTAAACTGATAAAAAGTAATGGTGTTCTGCTTTTTCAAATTGTCATCTTTACTACCTCATCCTGTATATATTTCAACTTTCCTTTATCTGTTTTATCCTTGACCTGATCCATTTGGATGTTGTTCCCAGCAATATCTCCTCAGCCCGGGTTTGTTTTTGAAAGGTGTTTTGATTATTCCAAGAGTTTTAAGGGCCCTAACCCATCATTAATCATCTACAAACTGAATTTTGTAGAACTCCCTTCAGCTTTTAACTGCTGTTCTCAGATTGACTTGTGCTTTTAAGTGGGTGTCAATTTTGAGAGTCTCTTCCTCTCAGTGCTATCAGAAACCCAGAAGTTAACTTCTCTTCTACTTGATGTGTAGATGTTGATACCAACCAGGTCTTCCAGCTGTAGTACTTGTTCATGTCCACTTACGTGCAGGAGTTCGTGGAGAATACATTATTGCCTAATTTTGTTGTGGGTCTTTGGTTTTTTCATTCAATTTGTACTTTTGTGTGGGGGGGCTATTTTGAAAAAAATGAAAATTAAAGTAAAGATGTTATTGCTACCATCATCTTCCTACAATAACTTATTTTTCACTTGAAGTCCCTGTCTTATCAGTCTTCCCTTTAATTGGTTACTTCAGTGGAGGTTCAAAATGATGATTTAGAATTTTTTTTCATCTCTTTTTGTACACATATACCATTATGCCATTTTTTTTCTTTATCAGTGGGTGCTATTTGTTTACCGCAAAAAACAGTTCTAGTGAAAAGGAAGCATGATAAAATATACTTAAATATTTTCAAGTTTATGTGGTCCAGTGCCTTCTGATTCTTGAATTCCATCTTTTTTAGTTAAAGCCCCCTTATTACCAGTCATTTCCATCTGTTTGTGGCCAGAAGCTACTTTCAAGGGACACCTTTGTTCCCCTTCCCTTCAGGCACAGTGTCATTTTCTGGTCTAGGTATTTTCTTGTTGCCTGTCCTGATTTGTTTTTTCTTTTCCTTTTCTTCTTGCAATACTGGGAAATGAAGCTCAGGGCTCTGCCACTAAGCTACGCCCAACCCTTTTTAATTTTAATTTTGAGACATGGTGTTGCAAAGTTGCCCTAGCTGGCCTCAAACTTGTGACCCTCCTGCCTCAGCCTCCCAAGTGGCTTAGATTATGGTTTAATGTACCCAGTTCTGTGGCCTTTGCTTTTAACCAACCTGTTATCAGTGCTCTAACTTGCCCTCAGTAGTTCTCTCTTAGGGTGGGGGTAAAGCCTCATCAGTGTTAATCTATACACCCTACTTTCCACATAGCACTTTGCTAGTGTTGAGTTCATGTGCTAACTGCTGATCGGGAGTGTTTATTATCCCACTCAATTGACATTTGGATTTCTTTGCTCCATTTCCTTTTTTTACTCTAGATATTCGTTGTTTATTCTGTTTTCTGTTCTTTTTGATCTGTGTAGATTTTCAGAGATGTGAGTGGAGTCTGATCCATGTAACTACCACTTTTATGTAGAAACCTGGAGCTTCATCTTCAGTTTTCTAAATAGAGGCATTCTTATTTAATTAGAGGTTTAACATTGCACATCACATAGGAAGTGAATTTTATTGAATAAGTGTTTCCATTATGTTGAGTTGATAGTAGTCTGTTTTTTAACTTCTTAATTAAAAAAATATAACCAAAGAAATAACTTTTTAATTATAAAGCTTGACTTGTTCACTGTCACCACTCCCTATCTTCCACTTCAGTGTCTGTCTTTCTCGCTGGCAGCTGATACTATAGTTCCTTAGGAGTAACTGATTACAGTGTGGGAAGCTTTATTATCACCCACTGCAGGGCAGCCCCCCCCCCACACACACACACCCTGCTGGAAGAAGGCTCAGTACTTTAGTAGACATGTTTTCTCTTGCCAGCCCCCCAAAAGTACATAAACTGTGGTGTGATTCCTTTACTTTTTAACTGAGAGATGGTTCTGCAAGTTACATGTCCAGTTTCCTTTACTTTGTATATCTTTATTATTTCATTTAGGCAAGTGATAGGTTTGCAGAAACTGAGGATGGGTGGCAAAGAAAGGAAGTGGAAGGAAATTGAATAAAGTGATGAAATCTCATAAGGCTTTTGAAAAAAGCCTTGGATACAGTGTGTTTTGTCAGAAGAATGGTATTGTAACAATAAAATCACCAGTATTTAGTAGTAAAAAAGAATATAAAAAAAGTAGAATTGTAATTACTAATTTGGGTAGTTTGACATTCTCTGCCAGAATTCTGGAAAGAACTTTTAAAGTGAATTTTACAATGCATTCTGTACCCAAGTAAAAATACTCAATTTTTTCTTTTGAAGTCTTAAGTTTTTAAGTTGTGAATTAATGTGTATATTAGTTTTATTGATATAGCTGATTATTTAAACAAGCATGCCAAGATTGCTTTTATGAGCTTTCATTTTCAGAATAACCTAAGTGTCATGAGACATTGCACTTATTACATAGGTTTTAGAAATACGATAAAATAATTTTCTTAAAGTAACTGCATATGACATAAATACCATGATAATATATTCTCTCCCTTCTTATACAATACATACTACTTGGTCAAATATTCTAGTTCATATAAAAATTATTTATGTTTCTATTACTGTTAATAAGTAGGTGGTTGTTCTGTTGGTTTATTTGTATCATTTTGTGGTTTTTCACCCTTGTTCTCCCTTACAAAATTGAGTAAGGAGTGTTTGAATGGACAAGGGAAATAAGAGAGGAAGGATAGATAATATACTTGAAAGCATCTGAAGTTAGTATATTACAATTTAAATCTTTTTCAATTCTGACAATTTTGCTTTTTGCTTTTTACTAAACATATATTATGATTATACCATTGTATTCAGCCATTTCCTTGTGCTAGGACATGTTTTGCTGTTTTTTTTACTATTGCAGATTATATAGTCATGAACTTAAATTTTATGTATTTAGAATTGTTTACTTAAAATAAATTTGCCTAAGTAGACTTACTAAATAACCAGGAATGAATATTTAGAGTTTCTAATGTTACTTTAAACTTGTCCCTTAACATTGTTCTTATACACAATATAAGCTTATATTGTTGGTAAAGTGAATGTCAAACTAAAATCAGTCCTGTATCTTTTCTCATTAGGGAGTTCTGGGAAATCGTTCATTCATTTACAGATGAACAGAAAAGACTCTTCTTGCAATTTACCACGGGCACAGACAGAGCACCTGTGGGAGGACTAGGAAAATTAAAGATGATTATAGCCAAAAATGGCCCAGACACAGAAAGGTAATTATTAAATTATCACTACATGACTACTGAAAACCTTGCATTACATATCACACACATGTGACCTATTGTAGCTTTTGAACACTTCTGATTTTTATATAGGAATTTCCAAATCACATGAAGCATTAGATGAGGGAATATTTTGCTGTTATTGTTAGGAAATTTTTGGAAAAGTGTCTCATTAAAAATTATTAGGGGCTTGCATTGGTTTAGAATTTTTTCAAATTAGTATGTTTCATTCCATTTTGGTTCACTGTTAATTGAAAACCATACTATATAATAATCTAGAATGGTTAAATTAAGGTTTAGAAGATTATCTGTACAGCATTAGAATATGCTTGAAACCTCAGTTTGGGCATTTAATTGTATTCTTTCCCCATTGTATAGCTTCACATTTTTGTGGGATAAAGACCATTCATGAACTAGCATATTTAGTGTTTTAAATGTATACACACATTTCCATTAGGATTTATTCTACATTATTTGATACATCATGGTGTTAATGTAAATAAATTTGTTTGTTATAAAACATTTTCATAGTTATATTGCCAACACTGCTTCTAATAAACATTAAAGAGCACAGACTTTTTAAATCTTAAAACCAGTTCTGAATATTTTCTTCACCTTAGAGTAAGTTGTCTAACATCTCAGTGATAAGGGTTTAGTGTTAATGTAAGATGTCTAACATCTTGTCTAACATCTCAACTCTTAAGGGTTTAGTGTTAATCCACTATATATTTCTTGTGAGAGATTTAGTTAATTAACTACCTAAAACAATAACTCTTTATGTTGTAATAATATAACCAATACAAATATTATCATCATCATCATCATATTATCATTAATTTATAAGGTAAAGATAAACTGATTCTTGGTGGTTGCAGAACAAAAAGTTTTATTTACTTTGATGTATAGCCTTCATTGCAAACCATCTCACCTGTATATACCATCTAAAAATAGGAGCATTTAATACTGAGCATATTTCCCATGACTTATTATTTTCCTGTTTTTCCCCTTTTTCTCTATTTAGGTTACCTACATCTCATACTTGCTTTAATGTCCTTTTACTTCCGGAATATTCAAGCAAAGAAAAACTTAAAGAGAGATTGTTGAAGGCCATCACGTATGCCAAAGGATTTGGCATGCTGTAAAACAAAATAAAAACAAAAAAAAAAGGAAGGAAGAAAAAAATGAAAAAAAAGAAAAAAATTTTAATAAATATAATGAGGGATAAATTTGGTGGTGATAGTGTCCCGGTACAAAAAGGCTGTAAGATAGTGAACCACAGTAGTCATCTATGTCTGTGCCTCCCTTCTTTATTGGGGACATGTGGGCTGGAACAGCAGATTTCAGCTACATATATGAACAAATCCTTTATTATTATTATAATTATTTTTTTGCGTGAAAGTGTTACATATTCTTTCACTTGTATGTACAGAGAGGTTTTTCTGAATATTTATTTTAAGGGTTAAATCACTTTTGCTTGTGTTTATTACTGCTTGAGGTTGAGCCTTTTTTGAGTATTTAAAATATATATACCAACAAAACTACTCCCCCAAGGAAAACATTGCCACCATTTGTAGACCATGTAACCTTCAAGTATGTGCTCTTTTTTGTCCCTGTATCTAACTCAAATCAGGAACTGTATTTTTTCTTTTTTAAACGATTTGCTTTTTAAACTTGAAGTCTTGGAAACAGTGTGATGCAAGTACTGCTGTTCTAGCCCCCAAAGAGTTTTCTGTGCAAAATCCTGGGAATCAATAAAGACAGAAGGGAGAACTCGTAATGTTTTAACTGCAGCCCTCAGAACTTGACTTTAGTAACAGCACAACAAATTAAAAACAACTCATGCCACAGTATGTTGTCTTCACGTGTCTTGCAATGAATTGTTTAAGTAGCCAATCCTCTTTCTTAGTATATGAAAGGACAGGGATTTTTTTTTGTTGTTGTTGTTGTTGTTGTTGTTTTAAGTTTACTGGGGAAAGTGCATTTGGCCAAATGATATGGTAGTCAGTTAGTAAGTTTGTTTTATTATAAACGAAAGCATGTGAAAGTGCACTTAAAATAAACTTTTTATTAATTATTACCTAGATTTTAAATAGACAATCCAAAGTTTCCCCTTCATGTTGCCATCATTTTGTTTAATCAGCTATTTTATCAAGGCACACGATCAGTGTTGCAGCATAATGGAAAGGATGGCTGCTGTGCCTTGTGTTGCTTAGTCATATAGTAAGAAGGCCTGGAAATGAATGGAAATATTACTCCTAAGAATTACATTGTATATCCCCAAAGATTAAATTTTACTTTAAAAAGTAAGCGTTAAAGATTAATTTCATGTACTACAGAAAAGTACAGGTAGGTTTAAGTTTCTGGATATTTAATGTAGTAGTTTCCCTTTTCCTAGTATTCTGCGTCTGTGATGTTAATTTCTTTTATTACATTATAAAATAAAAGGATTATGTATTTTTAACTAAGGAGAGACATATCGATATATCATTTTACTGCAAGTTACAGCTAATTTGCTGAGCTTGTGCCTTGATGATTGTTTTAACTGATTACTGGAGATCAACCTGATGATTTGCTTGAAATTGGCAGGAAAAATACCGCTTTCAAATCATTGGAGGGGAAAAAGGATGTCTTTCAGGATTATTTTAATTCTTTTAGTAATTGAGACAGAATTGTTATGTATTGTAATGCTAAATAAAACAGTGGCATTTTTCACCATAGTTTAGTGGAAAAAAGAAAATGCTTTCCATATTGTGATAAGGTAACATGGGGTTCTTCTGGGCCAGCTTATGAGTACCCTGTTAAGGTATTTATTTGTACATTACCTTGATGCAAGGGACCCTCATGTGACTATAGTCATTTTAAAGGCCCTCTCATCCACTGTGCTTCTTATGTATTGTGAAAGTGAGGAGAAATTAAATGCTTTGGGGACATTTTATATAATAAATTCATGAAGAAATTTGTGCTCTTTAGTTCTCAAGTTTTATTATCACAACAGTATTGAACTTCTACAATTGTAATAGCACGTCTATATGAAAAGTTTTAAAATGATAATCATATATAGGTTATCAGATTCATAATTCACATCACATAGACTTAACAAGGAGTCAAAAACCAACCTATCCTTAAAAAATTTTTAAGAAAAAAAATGATTGTAGAAATTAACTGCCCTTATTACTTAGTAATTAATTATTCTGTGCATATTATCACTTCTGTTATTTCCTTTTCACTATTGATTATTAGAATATCACTGAACAATATGTTAAGAAAGAGGAAAACAATATAAACTTTTAGTGTAAAAGCTACTCCCTACACCCCAGATGTTAAATTATTATAAAAGTACTTTTCTTTGAATTGGCCCCCAATCTCCAGGATGCTCTTGGGTGTGTTAAATTGTAAACTAGTTGGTTTTTAAAATAAAATGCAAACTTCTTTTACCTTTTAGTATTATTGTAGAATATTTCAAACATAAAGCATGAAAACACAGCCTTCAGCCAGACTTTTGTGGAGTCTGGAAGTTCCAGCAAATGAAATGGGTATCCTGACCCTGTATACTACATTCCTGGGCTGTGGTTAATTGTTTGATGAAATCCAGTTACAGTTTCTTTAACTTTAGTTTGGGATATATGAGTATAGAGGGAGATACATACCAAAAAGAAACTTGAAATTGAGGCTTTAAATAAACAAAATTTGCTACAAGTGGTTGTTATGGGCAACATCACTTCCTTTTCCCACAGGAACTTGGCTGTGTTGAGATTCTAAACCCGTTTTAAGGATCTTCCCAAGAATCTATACAAACTGTCAGAGGAAGAAGTGTCTCCCCAAAACTATTCTTTCTGTTATCTTGATCCCCCTTTAACTGCTTACCTCAAAAATATTTTTCTGTCCTTCCATCAACCTCTAAGACTCTCTGTACTTTTCCCACCCCTCCCTAAGGGCACCAAAGAATAAAAATACACAACTTTCACTGGTTCCTTTTCTTGTCTTGCATCATTTTATCCACAGTGTTAAGTGTGTAAGAATTGTCTGGGGAGGGTGGGGTTTATAAGTATAGAAAGTTTCAAGCCTTTTCTCCTTTCCCTATTCCAAGATGGTGGATTGATACTTGTAGCAATCACTGCAAGAAGATTCTGATGAATATATGGGCTGGATTTAATTATGAGAAAGACTTAATCCAGTGCTGTTTCATGAAAATGCACTGCTCAAGGATATTCATAACTTAATTGCCAAAATCAAGAACTCTTATCTTTAAACACTGGCAACACCCTGTACTTGAGCTGCTGCTTCTCTAACTGCAGCATGAGTTGCAGTTCCATAGCAACTTATCCAAATCTTGAGTTCTTATCTGAACCTTTTCCATTCTCTTTGGTCAGCCTCAGCCCTTCCTAAAGATTCTTCTCTACTTCCCTGTCTTCTGCTCAGACTTCTAGCTCTAGGTTATATTTTTGGTGTTCAAAGTCAGTATGCCTAAAAATGAAACTCTTAAATTAGCATCTCTTCCAGCCACTTTCTGTTGCTTTCTTAAAAGTGTCACCTTTGTACAAGTCATCAAAATTTCTCATTGTTATTCAATTAGGCTTCCTTTCAGGCCTTGCTCCTCTAACCCTCGATGTTCTTATTTCCTTCCTAACTTATCTACCTGACTCTAACTTCTTATTGTAAACCTTTTCTTTCTGCCAATACCCTCCACCCAGAAACCTGTTCTCCTTTGAATAAGGTCAGGCATCCTCTGATCTCCACAGACTGAACCCAACCTACCTTTTCAGTTCTTCTATTACAGGCACCTCTCTCCACATGCACATTTCCTACACAGCATCTTCACTTGTCATAGACCTAATGATTTTATATTTCTCAAATATCCTTCAAAACCAAATTTTAAAAGCATCTTGTCCATAAAGACTTTATTGATTACCCCCTGCCCCGCCCGCCCAAGTGCCTGAGTAACCTCATAGCAGCCCACACATCTCACAGCACAGCATGGTGGAGTATTATTTGAACAGCGAGGAGTTATAATTGTTAAAGGAGTGTTTCAGGCTAATCTTGATACGATCCTTTCCATGTTTTAGCTTTGTTTCTGAAGCTTCTGTTAACTGTTAACTTGGAATATAAATAAATTCCTGGTGAGGACTGTCTATTTAATAAAGTCTTTGTCTTTCACATATAGTAGGTGCTTACTTTGTTAAAGACTTGAATCCATCTTTCCACCATCTTGACAAAACTTTTTATTTAAAACATTTAAAATATTTTAATATTTAGTGGTTAAAGATTTGTTCCCCAGTGAGGAGGCTCCTTGAAATTATTGGCTCTGTCATTTTGGCCCATGGAAAGGAAGATAAAGAGGAGGTATGAAAATGCCCTTAAAAGCAAGATTTTTGTGTAACATTTCCCATCTTCCGGTATACTGGCAACTAGAAGCTTCTGCAGCTACCCTCTCTGTATCCACATTCATCCCTTCTCTCTCAGTGGAAATAGAGGCTGACAGTCATCTTACACCATTGTGCTATTGCCAGCCACTCATGCTTATCAAGGAGCGATTCTCAGATCCTCAACCTCTCAGCCAAACACTGCTCTCTATACTAAATGAAGCATTCACCATGGTGAGTGCCTTTTGTATGAGAGTCATATTTAGCATTTTCTTACACTCATCTAAGTTGAATTCCTTTAGATTATGGAGGGAGTTAACTTCTAGTGCACAGTCTTGTATATATGATCTTTCATTTCACCTGCCCAAAGCCCTACACCCAGTAAATAGAGAAACAGGGCCTGGGCCAACATGAATTTAAAATCTGTCATTTTCTCATTGACAAAAATTAAACATCAAATCAAGATGCTTAGACAACTGAGCAGTACCTGGGATAATTATTTTAATTACCTTCTCACCCTAGGAAACCATACAAAGTGGGATTGGATGTATCCGGGAAACAATACACAGTGGTTGAGGGAGCAGCCTTCAGAGTTAGATGACTCTGGTTTTCGGTCCTGGCCCTGCCATTCCCTTGGCTTGGATTATACCCAATCCTACCTTATCACTGATTGTCAGGATTCAATGAAATTGAGATATATATTGCTAGTTAACATCTTGCAAGACATCCTGAGAGACAGATGGGTTCTCCCAATGTTTGCCAGAAAATAAGAGAAAGGGAAGTCTTAAGTGAGAGGTTGGAAATGTTTGTAATAAAAATTTGTTGAGCAAGAATTGACCTTCCCTCATCCATCTGAAAAATGGAAGAGGAGTGCTTTTCCTCATCAATGTTTAAGATATAATTCATACACCGTAAAATTCACCCTTTTCAAATTGTAAAATATGTGGTTCTTAGTATATTCACAGAATTGTGCAATTGTCATCATTATATAATTCCAGAGCATTTTCATCACTGTTCTTAATCCCCAGCCCCTGGCAACCACTAATCTACTTTCTGCCTATGGATTTGCCTGTTGTGGACATTTCATATCAATGGAATTATACAATATGTGGCCTTTGTGTCTTTTTTTTTCTTCCTCCCGCTTGGAGTAATGTTTTCAGAGTGCATCCATGTTGTAGCATGTTTATCAGTACCTTGTTTCTTTTTGTGGCTGAATAATGTCATTGTATTGATATACTGTATTTTTTGTTTATCTACTCAGTTGATGGATACTTGCGTTGTTTCTGCTTCTTGGCTATTATGAATATTACTACTATGAAAATTTGTGTACAAGTTTTTATGTGGACCTAAATTTTCATTTCTCTTGGTTGTATCTTTTAAGCATCTTATGGTTTTAATTCTTATATTTAGGTCTTTGACCCATTTTTGCATGTGGTGCATTGTAGGGATCCAGTTTCATCCTTTTGGTATGTGGATATCTAGTCATATAAGCAACAACTGTTGAAAAGACTATTATTTCCTCATGAATGGTCTTGGCACCCTTGTCAAAAAACAATTGACCGTAAATATAAGATTTTTGGACTCTCAATTTTATTCCATTGTTCTGTATGTCTATCCTTATGCCAGTTACCACAGTGTTTGGATTACTATAGCTTTATAGTAAGTTTTGAATTTGGGATGTATGAGTTCTCTTACTCTGTTCTATTTCAAGATCATTTTGTTTTATTCTGGGTCCCTTGTATTCCACATGAATTTTAGGATCAACATGTTAATTTCTGCAAAACAAGTACCTGGGATTTTGGTAGTGATTGTGTTGAATATATAGATCAGTTTGAGGAATGTTGCTATTTTAACAGTATTAAATTTTTCAATTCATGAATGTGGAGTGTCTTTCCATTTGTTTAGGTCTTTAGTTTCTTTCAATGATGTTTTATAGATTTCAGTGTATACGTCTTGACCTCTTTGGTTAAAATATTTCTGAGTATTTTATTCTTTTTAATGCTATTACAGAATTGTTTTCTAAATTTTGATTTTTGGATTATTCATTGCTAGTGTCTAGAAATATAATTGATTTTTAAGTATTGATCCTGTATGCTGTAGCTATTCTGAACTCATTTATTCTTTTTTTAATTCCTTAGAATTTTCTATACACAAGATCCTGTATCTGTGAATAGAAATACTTTTACTTCCTTTCTAACCTGAATTCTTTTTATTTCTTTTTCTTGCCTAAGTGCCCTGGCTAGCACCTCTGTACAAGATTGAATAGGAGTGGCAAGAGTGGAAATCTTTTTCTTGTTCCTGATTTTAGGGGGAAAGCGTTCAGTCTTTCACCATTAAGTATGATGTTAGCTGTGGGTTTTTCATAGATGCTTCAAGTTAAGGAAATTCCCATCTATTACTAGTTTATTGAGTGTTTTTATCAAAAAAAAAAGATATTGGAATTTGTCAAATGCTTCTTCTGTATCTATTAAGGTTGTCATGTAGTTTTTGTCCTTTATTCTATTGATATGTTGTATTACATTGATGGATTTTTGTATATTGAACCAACCTTGCATTCCTGGAATAATCCCACTTGTCTATGCTACATAAACCATTTTCTATGCTGCTGGATTTGGTTTGCTAGTATTTTGTTTAGAATATTTGCATCTATATTCATAAAGGATATTGGTCTGTAGTTTTCTTGTTAAATCTTCGTGTCTGGTTTTGGTATAAGAGTAATACTGGTCTCAGAATGAATTGGGAGTTTCCGCTATTTTTAAGCCCAGCAGCATGTTTCAAAATAACTACTTCAGCACCTTGACCTGCGAGATCTTTAGATGTTGGGGAACACAGGAATGGTACTTGACTCTGAAAGGGTCCCAAGGTAAGACATGTCTCAAGTGGCCTGTGGGAGCTGAATAAAGGGCACTTTCACCAATGATGAGGTCAAGGTGGGTGTTTCCCATAGGTCACACATGATTGCTGTAAGAAATGAGCCATAAGCCATCTTGAAAATAACACTGTGCAAGTGGCCTTCCTGCCTGAAGCCAGGCACACAGCAGATGAGTGCCATCCAGTGTAGAATTGTCAGGGGAGGAGAGTTTGGAAGCTAGTATCTAAGCCAGGGAATCTCAGTGGGGGTTCCCAGAAGGCTGTATTCCAGGAAAAAAAAGTCATTAACGCCCCCCCACCCCAGCAAAATGTCATACTACAACTACAACAACCTGATGAGGCAGATCCTCTTCTCTAATTCCCTCCCCTGTAGAAGGGCCAGAAACACCTGTTGAGTGGAAAAGAAGTGGTAGGAAGAAGAGAAAAGAAGCAGGTTGCACAGACTCCTTAGTTTTTCTACCCACAATAAGGCTTGAGAGCAAGAGGCAGAACTTTGCCTTCAATTTGGAGAGTTTGACATTTTGATAATTCATTACTATGGACTTCACAGTACCTCCCCCTAAAGTTGCTTTGTTTATTTCCTGAATATGACCAGAAGAGTTATATGACTTAAAGTTTCATCACTAGAAAAATTAAAAAGCAGGCTTGGAAAAAGTAGAAAGTTGTATTCTGTACCTACCTCTCTCACTACCACTACACAGATATCAGGTCTTCATGATTCAATAAATCAGACCTAAAAAGGACTTAGGACATTTAGGATGGTATTTATGATGAGGAATTATGGGATATTTCCAAATTGGCTTGGATCCTATTCCAAGTGAAGTGTAATTTTTTTCCCCTTTCATTAACATTTTTGTCGGGGAAATGCCTATTGAATACTAGCAATTTTGCAGGGTCCTGGAGGTTTCAGGTTCATTCGTTCAGAGGTGCTTTGTTGAACTAAGGAGTTAATGGGAGATGATTTAATTAGGGCAGACATAAACACAAAGGGAATATGTAAAATTACGGTTTAGGCTGAAAATTCAGATCCAGAAACTTTTCATACAGATGAATGTTTAGTTAAATCTTAGATGGGTAGTTGTACACTAGACAGATGGGTAAAGTGTGTTCACTACACCTGAGTGTAGGGCTCAAAGGGATCATAATCAAAGGGATTAGAAAGGTCAGATCATGGAGGGCCTCATAGACCATACCAAGGACTTTTGGACTTGACACTAGACACAGAGAAGCTAAGGCATAATCAGGCTGGCGTTTTTGTTATTATTTTACAATATGATCTATAAGAGCATAAGTGCCCACATGGTATTTGCATTTAGATTATTAGATTATTGCTATAATTCTAGAAAGGCAAATAGCCTAAGGGTAGAAGGAAAGGGACAATTTCAGGCAAGTTCAGAATTAGGACTGGGTGACTGATTAGATGTTTTTGCAAGGGAGAGTTAAGTCAAAGACAACTGCATGTCTGATTTTAGCAACTGGATGGAGAGTGGTGGTACTGGATCTACAGAGAAGAGGAGCAGATCTTAGAGGAAAAATTGGTACACTTGGGGCATGTTTTAATTGCAGTGTCATGGGCAATGGGATCTGGCCCTATGCAAATAAAAACACAGGAAGAAGCAGCCTCCAGAGAAGATATGTATGACTCCAGCCTGTAGAAATGCCTATTGAAATGCTAGCAGTTTTGCTAGCATTTACACCATTTCCCTGGAGTATTGTCACCAGCAAAAGGGAATACAGGAGAGAAGGTCAAGAACACACTTTTTGGCAATGCTGAAATTTTGAGGGTTACACAAGTTACCCTAATGTAGCTTTTAAAAGAATGGCGGATACATACCTGTCATAACATGAAGACAAATCTTTGAAACATAAACTTCAAAATAATTATATCAGTTATCCCCTTTTTGATTCCATTCGTATGCCTAACTTTGCTGTGTTTGACTCACTTCTCATTTCATCTAAAAGAGGACAGTAATGAGGTCAAATCTGTTTCCTGAGACAAATAAGGTATCCTTGTCCCAGAGTTAATCACCTAGGCAGAAGATAACTTGCAGGTACTTTGAGCTAAGAATACGTAGGAGGATCCCAGTTCACAACTTGATGTTGTATATGTGGGCCCTTGTAAAATGGAAGTTGTTCCATTTTCTAAGAATGCATTTCAGAAGTTGCCCCCAATATGAGTGCATCCAGCACTCATACCCAATGAAAATGCCATTCTTCAACACTTAGAACTGATATATTGTCAAATTTAAATTATGGTTCCCCCAAAATGTACTATAATTTTTGTAGCCTCTAACAGTCTTTACTTCATTATTGCCTAACTTCTTCCTTAAATTATAAGCTCTGTTAGAATAGGAATGCATTTGTTTTCTTTTCCCCAATTTTCAGCACAGATTTGTTGAATGAATGTATGAATGAAATTATGATTGCAAAGTCAAAGAGTCTGATTTGTCAACCAGAGTTCCAGATTTCTACAAATCTACCAGTAAAAGGTAGTAGGAGTCTTGTTCCTGCATGTGAAGAGCCATCTTGGAAGAAGATTTTATGGCATTGAGAGGTTCCTTACACCTTCCCACTGTGCATGGATAATACAACCATACATTGCTCTTAGGAGCACATCTGGTTTCGGCAAAGCAGTAAAAGGAAAACCAGCTTGTGTTTCAATATATTCCTAAGACGGTGGTGAGTAAACCAGACATGTTTTCCTAAGTCACTACTTTCATGAGTGCTTCTGCATTTGCTCCCACTCCTTTATCCCAGTCTCTTACTCCCCATTTCACACGTGTAGTCCCATTATTCACTTAATAGTGGTTCTTTGTTTCATCATAACAATCTGTATGCTTTCATACAACCAATCCCTATAGGAAATAAATATAATGAATACTGAATTCATATGAAGTAGAGTTAGTCATGAGGGCCTGCACATGCCTACTCAAGGGGACAGGAGTAGCTCTGCCTGCAGGTTGGCCTCACTTCAGTAATCTAATTCCACATACAATACTTGAAACCTGCAGTTATTTGGCTGTTTCTTTACAACATGAATTCTACTTTCTTACGTTACTTTTATTGTCATCATGGAACTTTTATATATCAGATATAAAAGTACTACCATTATTCTATTAAAATGTCAGTGCCACTGCGCACACGTGCATTTATATATAATATATATATATATATCATATATATATCACTTTTATGACAAGTTATGGGTTTTATGACAATAATTGGATTGTGTAAGGTGGTTAGGGGTTAAAAGTAAAATCATTTTGCCCAATGCACATTTTAGAGGATTTAGTGCCAAGCGGTGTATCAATTTGTCCAAGATCACTCTGGCCATTGCATTTATATAAATAAAGCTAAAAACCAGAGCCTCTGCCTCCCACTCAGCTCATTCCACAGTAGCATGCCAATTTAGCCTCAGCTTCCTTCAGTGGGCATTGTCTTGACTTAATTAGATGTGAGGAACTTACCTTAAAGGTTTGACTTGGGAAGGGGAGGCTCTTTATTCTCTAGTCAACCAGGTTTGATTTGTTAGATTGTTTTTATTATGAAACACTGAGAAATTAGAGCCAAACTCCCATCTCTGTTTCCTCCCAGCCCATTGAAGAAACAAAATTTGCTAACATTCCCAAATTATTATCTTTTACTCTCTTTTTTTACAGTAAGCAATACTGCCAAAAAGCTTCCCAGAGTCATGTTCCTCTTAGATATTTCTCCTTGAAAACTGTTGTGTGGTATGAAGATGAAGCCTTTTCAAGATGTGCCCTGCAGGGTCCCAACCCAGACTGCCCTTTGCTGTCCATTTTTGCCACTTGTCTCCACGTGTCCATTTGAAAGGCTACGGGGCCGGCCTCAACCTGGGTCCACTGTCTTAACTGTTTAAGTCCTGCCTTGATTGCTGTGATTTTATAGAAGAGGAGAAAAGCAGTTTTCTCCCCAAGTTCAGGGACAATCTTGAGATTGGGGGTAAGAGTTTTCATTGGTAAGTATTAAGAAACAGTTGCTAAATAAATGATAAGTCGGTGCACAGGGGAGGGATACCTTAGGAAAACAAGTGTCCATTCTTTGTGGTGATAGAATTACTTCCAGACTCTTCAAGAACTATTTTCTGTCTTCTTCCTGCAGCACAACTTCTGATTCCTGGAGCATTCAGTGCTCCCTCACTTCCTTTCTTGGAGGGGCTCTTGGAAAGGGAATCTGAAAAGAAAAAATATGCAGGATGTGGGGGACTTGTGACTCTATCCACCAAATTGGTTGTTTTATTCAGGAGATAGTCTTGCCCTAACATGACTTGGATCTCAGTCAGCACAGCTGTATCTATTTGCACATCCTCTGGGCCATAGAGATTATTCATTGGCCTTTTCTTTTGGGGGTGCTCCACATTTCTGTTTCCATGGACTGTGTATTTAAGAAGCTTACCTTTTGATTCCCTGTCAGTGACTGGATCTCTAAGGTCACTAAGCACAATGTTTGAGTGCCTGCTGAAATTGCTCAGGATCCCTTCTTCCCCCTGTAGTAGTAGACTCTTTTCCATAGGAAGCTTTCTCTGTTGTGCTCCTTGTTCTGGACTCTTTAGAGACTCTAAAGATAAAACCAGAGCTGCTGACTTGCTCGCCTGTCTGACAGGAAATGTTCTTTTCATAGTTGCTTTTGGGTCCTCTTCTTTGGAGTCTGCCTTTAGGGTCACCCTGGGAACTTCCTGGGCCTCTGCCTTCTTAATTAGACCATTCCTGCGAGCTGGGCAGTGTCTCTCTTTGTCCAGACAAGATTGAAAGATCATGTTGTTCTCACTCCTTCTCCTGTTCTTGATTATCGCCTTCACTGCTGCCTCACTTTCATCTTCCAGGATGGTGCAGTAGTTGGAAAACATGCTTTTGGAGGTGAGCTGTTTGACCAGCTCCTTGTTGCCCAGCAGTCGGGCATGTGCCAATTCTGACCTTTGGAGCTTTGAGTAACATCGCTTATAAAAGGTTTTCTGCTCCATTAGCCAGGCATTGGCTTCATGTTTCTTCATGGACTCCAGAAAACTCAGTTTCTTTCTTAGCAAGTTCTCTTCTTTCCAGTTGAAGGACAGAGTTGAGTAGTACTTCTCCATTTCTATAACTTTGTGCCTTTTCCAAATATAGAAGAGTGCTTGTTTCCCTGGTTCCTAGAACTGTCCCTAAAACCCTGACAGTTACTTTGCTGGTGACTTCTCCATGAGATGTTCAGTTGGGCCTCTGAATCTAACATATCTCTGCTCACCTCAGGACCTGGCAGACAGTGTTCTGTTAGACCTGTGAGGATGCTTAGTGAACTGTGAGAACTATGAACACAGGATTCTATTCTGGCTTCCATTGTTTGTTTAGAATCTTTTGAGTTGCTGTGGACTTAACAGTATGATGGCCAAGTATTTCTCCCAAAGGCAGGGGTCCTGGGAGACTTGTTCATTGGCCTGTTTACTGTAAGTGTGGCTTCCACCTGAAAACTGTCCCCTTCCTACAGGAAAGGGGGCTGGAAGGCAGTCTACCATGTCTCTGTGATATGAGCTGTTATTAAAAGCTAGAAGATTTAGAGTTTTAATCTAATAATCTATATGCTCATTGGAAGTGATAACTTTATATAGTTTTATTATACGAAACCTCCCAAGGACAGTACTGGTTAAGTTGTTGAAGTTGGGCCCTTTTTGTAATGGGATGTTTAAGAACTTCAGTCAAAGATGAGATTGCCCAGAAGTTAGGGAGGAAAAAAGCCAAAGAAAGTGAATAAAGAAAAAAGAAAATGAGGACACCCTTGCTGAGGGCATGGCATACTTGCTGACAGTGGGTGCCAGGTTCAAAATATGGCTCTGGTTAGATGTTAGACCTTCTCTAAACATCCTCTGACACAGTGAAAGCAAGATGGGCACAGATTCCCTAGAAGGTGCAGGTATCAGCTTGGAGACACCTACACCTTCTATCCCTGTTATATGTCATCCTTCAGATCATAGCTCCATTGACATGAGCACCTTCATATAACCTGTTGTATTTGTTCTACCAAGAATTTAGGTTATTATGTGATTCCAGCCATGTAGCAAATCAAGACTGTAACTTGTTAAGGTTTCTTTCTCTCTTTCTCTCTCTCT